TTAATTGAAATTGCTTTCTCAACGTTTTCGGCCGTAACTTTCTTAGTTTTACCGATAATCCTTCGGTACATTTCGATATTTTGCTAATAAAATCACTTCAAGTTGTATTTTGATGTTTAAACTAATTATGGGCATTTAAATTGATAGCTGTGCAATGTTTCGCAGCTCATTACCAAAAGTTTCGTCATCCATTTTTGCTTATAATTTCTGTTATTGTCTGTGACAGTTTGCTGAGAAATTCAGTGCTTAACTTCTTGTATATTGGATATAAAACAGAAACAGAATAAGAACTAAAACGAATTTTTTCCATGATGCTGTTTCTGGTATACTTTTCTAATTTCTGATGATTTCGAAAAGAAGCATTACTGTACTTTCGATACAATTAGTAGGCTTATATAAACAAATAATTTTCCTCGCAGAGCGCTTTCAATCTCCATCACTAATTCTTATTTACACTTAGGATTACGTTGTTTACACTCTCAGACAATAGAAGGTAAGTTGCACAATGAATCGACCTTTGATGCAAAGCGTTAGATAAGTGCTAATCTCTTATGATTCGGTTGCATTAATTAATATATATATGTGCGTATACATTGTGTATACGCATATAAGCGTATACACATTGTAGGTGTCTGCAAATTTTTTGATTTTTGAAGTAGATATACACTAAATAAATTTAAACAATACAAAAATGTTACAAAAATGAAAACTAATAATAAAAATATTAATATATAAACATTATTTTAAAAAATAATAAAGATTCTGGTTACAATCGACTCTGGAGACTAAGTTTACTAATTTAGGGAGGAAATTTTGGGTCGACCGAGTACTGGCTTATAGCCCGGACGGGATGACGTCAACCCCAATTTACCGGGCTAAAACTTTTTTAAAGAATTATGTAACACTATTTTTACAATTTTCGACTACTACTACACTTTTGCTGTTAGTATGGAATAACCAATATCTATTATAGGCAGAGATTCCCAACCTTTTTCTTACATGACCCGCATATAGAAAATATTGTTTCAGAGTTAGCAATAAAAGCTCTTGAGATGATCGTCTAATATCGCATCTCTCTAAATCCCTCCCCGGCAATTCATATACACTTGGCTGAACAGTAAATATTATACGTTAGACTAGCAAACAACGAAAAGAAAACCGCTTTATATACATATAAATATGTAAAATATGTATTTAAATGAATAATTAGCAAAGAGTAAACATAGATGTGTTTACATGTGATTATATGTAATCCGCATTGCGAACAAGACTTAAATAAACAAGACATGTAAACAATTTACAATGAAACGCATAGAAAATCGATTTTATATATAAGCAAGCATACAAATCTTGAAAAGTTATTTATTTAAATTTATGAGTATGAAACGCATAAGAACACATTTCGTATACAGTTCATAACAAACGTCAACATATGTGTGTTACATGTGTTCATATGTAAAAACACATGGGTCTACGTTATAAACACACAGATTGTATACATAATACGCAAATGCGTGTTTAACGCATGTATGCATTCACGTAAACACTCAACTAATATACACAAGTACTGTACCTAGTGTTTACATAAACACACACGTGTTTAAATATAATTGGTTTTTGTTTGTAGCTACACTTAAAAACAGCATTTATAACGGACTTGCAGTGAAACAGGCAAAAAAAAAATCAGTTTGTATATACTTTTTTCTTGTATATAAATTATTTATTTCGATCTCGAATCTATTAAATACATAAACCCTACAGTTAACACACGCTTCAGTGTGCACCGCATACGAGATGATTATTAAACAATTACTAAACCAAAATAAACGTTAAAAACGTTCGGTAAAAAACTTTTTATATTATTATTTTCCATAAAATAATGAATTCTTTCATGGTTAATCCCTCTTAAACCAGATTACTTGAGAATAATGAGTAAAATATTCTTTAGTACATCACGTCAGAGTTTTTTTATCATCCCATTCTACAATATTCCTTGCAAATAATTAGATAGCCTATTATTAAGCACATTATTAGGACTAGAATAGAACTTTTAAGAGAATAAAACATTTATTTATTTAGAAAATTGTTTTCTTTTGAAACTTATAAAAATAGACTTCTAAATTTACTGATCGTTATCTTCTAATATATCGAAATTTTGTTTTTCTGGTGTATTTTTACTCTGCTCCATGGCACGCTATTTTCTTAAAAGTGATATCGTACAGTAAACTTTTCTTAAATAATAAATGGATCTCGCATGTCTAAAAACATAATAAATAAATTATACAGTGGAAATTTTAACTTGTTCATCTGCTTATTATCAAGTGGGAATTCATCTTTCTGTTGAATTCAATGTTTTACAGATGTTTTTGACAAGGCAAGCATACTTTATTCATAAAAATTACACAGTTGGATATGAGGATCGATAAACTGACAGATGCTATTCTTTAAAACGAAAGGAATAACAAACGTTTCCTTACTACGTACGCTTTAACAGTAATTTATATTTAGGAAAAACTCTATTTTTTCTAGTTTTGGAGTGTTTTTTCCAACTTTAATCTCGGATAAAGCTGGAAGTAGAAGCTGTTTCCTTTATACACATCTACCAATCTCTTCACGTTTTGTCTGAATCGAAAATAGATTTTAATGTAAATGATAATGCTTCATTGCTTCGATCGAAAACATTTGCTTTTCATTTTAAATGTCTCAAAAGAATATAAAATATTACATAAAATGTTGTTTTATAAGAGATTTTAAACAGTTTATATAATTTATATTCTATAGTAAATCAGTATAAATAAAAAGCTCTAGCGTATATAATTTTTTACGGGAAATTAAAGTGCACTTTTTAATGTAACAACATAAAAATTTTATATCTGTACTGCATGTGTGTCTATCAGTTAACTAGTTCTGTTTCTAACGTGTTTATGTGCAGCATGTAAGTATCAATATTTATTAATATTAATTGATTATTTACATGTTTAAATGTATTTCAATGTATTGTATATATTTACATCTGTTAACTGTTTTTACTTTGAGTGAATAAGTACAGGCGCTATAGATTTGTATATGCATGGATATACAGTAATGTATTATTATCAGTTGTATCAGATTATATATCAGATATTTGATATGTCTGTCCTTTATGTCTTTAAATTATACAATGTATGGTTTTCTGTTTGCGTATGAATCATCTGCAAATACTTCAAAATTTATACGCACGTTAGTTCATCTTGGACCCATACCATAAAAGCATTTATAGATAGTTTAATATACAGGGAGTGTGTTCTTTTATCAGATCGTTCTGTCGGGTCGGAGGAAGAACGAGAGTCTCGACGTTCATCTAACACCGTTCTCGAAATTAAGGAAGAACAGACAGGCGGACGAACGACGATAGGGATTTACGGGTCTAGAATTTTTTTCAAAATACAGCCAAATAATGATTTTATTCATAAAATTATTTATTTACATTTTATGATGAAATAAAAATCAATTAGTTGAACACATAGCTATACATTTATACACTTAAAATAAATTGCGACACTTACAGTAAATAGTGAAAGAAACTTTTATAGGCAACAGCAAACACGCGATTCGTATAAATTAATTTAGTGAACAAGATTGACTTTTCTCACCTCTTTTCTGTTTACTTTTTAGTCATAATTATAGGACATAACGACTTTGGTTATATTCTAATTACTTCACTTTACAAGAGGACACGATTAATTAACAAGGAAAAATCGATTTTTGCCTTATAAAAACTACATTCGATAACTCTCTAATACATTTTATGGTGCGATTAAGTTAAGTTTTTCCATTAAGAGATTAATTGCAAGAGAAACGTGACTAATTATTTAGAATTTGATAGATTTCTAGAATAAAAAAAAGTAATAATAATTTTAATAAGTTACAGGAAGTTATGCGACCGGGAAGAAGGCCCAAAAGTCAGTTAACCGAGAAGAAGATTAATGGAATGCACAAAATTAATGGAAACGTGATTAAGTAAAGAAATAATTTATTTTTTACAATGCGATTAACTGACTTTTAGACCACCCTGCGTATATTTCTAATTTTATTAGTTATAAACTGAAATTTTAGTGCCTGAAGAATTATCATAAAATTTAATTTTTGCATTCTTCTTCAATCCAAGAATGCGAACTTTAAATTTGTATTGAAGGGAAAAAAGTGCTGATAAGGTAGTAGTAAAAAAAAGTTTATTTTTAATTCTTCACTTTTAATTTCTCTTCACTTGTAAAGGCAATTTTACAAATTCTCTCGTTCGTATTCGTTATCAAAAATTAATTTATTCTGGTCTAAACTTTCGAGAATTTTAATTGAGATTGGAAGATTTTTTTTAATGTTTTTTTTAATAGTTTTTATTAATTTTTAAATAAATTATTTCGAGTAAAAGTGTTTTATAATTTTAATGTCACTTCTTAAATAACGCAATTAATGTTACTATAGTAACTTAGTGTTTTGGATCATTTTTCATAGTTACACAAAGTCGAGTTAGATAACTGCTACTCATTAAAGTTTGAATATTAGAAACAGGAGCATCGTCGTCCGTTGAAGGATATTTAATGAAGTTCCCCTTGTTAATAATTTATTAGAGATTAGGTAAACATCCAATGTTTATAGCAATTAATTTCATAAAACTATTCAAAATGTACAAGCTTCTAAATCTCTGCAAATTCGTTTTAACAACATTTTCCTATGCGGTTCTGGAGAAAGAAATAGATGTTAAAACATTAATTAACTAAAATTTAATTGTAACACAATTAATTTTTAATTAGCTTCCTTTTCTCTCATAGCTTATTTGTTCTCTTAATTCCTTTTATGTAATTTTATCATTTTTACCTCCTTAAACAGCTTCAAATTCTTTAAATTTGTTGCTCTTAGTGGTAATAATAAGTTGTTATAAACGTTAAAGTAATTAAATGTAAATAGTTTTAGATTAAATTTAAGTAGAGATGATGATTAAACTTCTTTTTCCTTGTTTTCAGGCTATCCTACGATGTTAAAATTTTGTTATTTATTTGCTTTATATTGAGTAAAGAAGCTCGAATATAACTAAAATGGATCCATCCACGTGTACTGGAGTTATCTGCGAAGAGCCAACTCAGATCTATTTAGATCATCCAACTGATATGTTAGATCCCTCGACGCTCAATCCCAGTTTTGTTTCCATTATTCTTGTACACTCCGTCACATTTGTGGTTGGCGTAATTGGAAACAGCGTAGTTGTGGTCACTTGGACGGGTCTTCGTCCGTCCAGAATTCCAACCTGTATTTTTTTGGTCAGCCTTGCGGTTGCAGACTTGGTCCAGCTACTAGTATGCGTTCCCTTGGAAACTCTGGAGTATTTTCTCATTATCTGGGATGCCAGAGGTGCTACCTGCAAGATTCGATCTTACATCGAAATGCTATCCGGAATGGCATCTATTCTTAATTTAACAGCCGTCAGCTGCGAGAGGTACGCACTGCTGCTATAGTAACCTGTTTATTGATATATGATTTCATTTTGATGGCTTCTTTCTAGATTTTTAGTCATCGTTTTTCCTATACAAGCTAGAAGATTTTGCACTTTGAGTAATTGTCGAAAGGGTTTGGTAGCAGTATGGACAGTTGCCACTTTTCTAGCATGTCCCGTTCTTGCAACTAAAGTAAGCTAATTCATTCCTCATATTAAAAAAAATTAAATTTTTAAATGGATAATGATTTTTATATAATTTTTACTTATTAAAAATTTTTTACTCCAGAGAATTTATCCAATAACATACTACAATAACAACACTAATTTAACATTATATTATTGTTGGGATAACAATCATTTCTTAGCTTTCTATGTGGCTGTGTATCAATTGGTGACAATGTTTGTATTGCCAGCACTTTTCATGTCCGTTTGTTATTTTTGGGTGATAAGAGAATTATGGAGTAGCACCAGAAACGTCGCCGTCATGACTCAAGTATCCAGGTAATCTAGACTAATGGATTTTTTTAAGTGAAACATTTTTAATAACTTTCTTTGCTAAACGGCAGATCTAAACAACGCTACTTTTATAATCTGAGCTTCTTTTCTAGTTCAGAATAGAATTCTACATAATTCTAAACTGATTTTAAAACGATCAATGTTTCTTTCTTTTACCTCTAGCAAGGCACAAGTTGTGGCAAATTACAGTAGGCATTCCAATGACGTTCGATTCTCATCATCTGTTCAGAGAAAGCCTCATTGTCACCATCATTATGGTAAAGAAGTGAGTAAAGGAAGGAAACAAGTAAGTATTTCAATAAAGATTTGTGATATAAAACAATAACTGATATAAATATTCACCATTTAATTTCTCTCGCAGATTATCAAAATGCTTCTGATTGTCGTTATCTTGTTTCTGGTGTGTTGGGGTCCTCGTCTAGTGATGAATGTTGCCATCAAACAGGGACTCGATAACTTTACTCATTCGGCTTATGCTGCTCGTATTGTCTTTTATCTTCTACCTTTTATCCAATCATCGCTCAATCCTTTCGTTTATGGATTTATGTCGTCGAATTTTAGGCATTTAATGCTTCATTCGTGCTTTGCCAAATTTGTCCAGCTGATATGTAGGAAGGAAAAGAGCAGAATTCCTTCTAAACGTAAGATTTACAGGTTTAATAATCGAGCCAACAGCGAACACTCTTGTAAAATTACTTCTGTGGATTTGGATGCCAAGTCTAGTTACAAATAAATCTATAATATTATATTAAATATAAATCTGGACTGATTATGATATCTATAGACTTAATAACAAGGAAATAGAAATGGAAAGTGAATCTAATCCAACTTGTTAAATTTTAACAATTATAATAATTAAAGAGAAATGTCTTCACTTCGTGGTTCTTTAATTTCTAAATTAAATATCATTGTTAAAAATGAAATAACATAAAAAACAAATTAAATAAATGCAAATTCAAACTCTACAAAATTCGGCTAACGGGAATTTTTGATTTCTACGTTTTAATACATTTTCTACAATCGTGCATGGTGGCCAAAAAGTCGGTTAACCGAATTTCTAAACATCAGTTAACTTAATTAATAAACTTTTAGACTATTTGTTTATAAGATTTTTGATACTACTGTATCTACTTCTCAGAGTTAGTTCAAAACAATCAACTATGTTTTTAAAACAAATTATTACATATACAACAACTTAAAAAAAGCAGAATGTTTTATACATGTGAGTTTTTTAGAGAGATTTAAAATTATTCTTAAATTTCCTGGTATACAACATTAGATACAAGATTGCATAGGTAACTCCAAACCTGCCAATATAAGGGTGAGTAAACAAAAAAATTTGCACAAAAAACAAACTTCGTTATTTTTAAAATGATTATCCAGAACACAAAATTAGTTTCTTTTGTTTCTAAATTATGGAATCCGGTCCATGGTCGGCGACTTTAGTCTTGACGTCGGCCATCAGAGTTCAAAAATAATCTGAATTGAATTGGCAGAGTTTAGACTTGATGCGCTGTTTCAGTTCCGTTTTATTTTTTGGAGACTGCCTATTTTATACATCTTTTGTTTCAGCTGGTGCAATAATCGTTCAATTGGTCACAGCTGAGGAACATTTGTAACGTTGTTCTTTTTGCTGATTTAGGACTCCCAGAACTGTAATGTGCCGCTGCTGCGAGCTCCGGCCAGAAGATATACATGCCATCTGAGTGGTGTCACTCTAAACCTTTTCCTAGTTCACTCCTTTATGCACATTTCTTTGTTGATAGAGAGGTGAGACGGTGATTTGAATATTTGAGATATTTCTTAAATCAACACTTTCTGATGAAATTTTGTGTGGCGTTTAAATTTTACATGTGGATTAACCGCAATTTATCCTTACATTAGTATATGTTGTATCCAGAGCAGTCACTTCCATCAGAAGTAAATACGACTCATCGTCCGTAATAACGCGCAGACCATTTAAAGCTGTGAAATCACCTGGCGCATTTTTCAGAGCAGAATCCTGAGCAGAAGCAATTTAAATTTTATTATTTTATTATTTTTTTAGCTGATTTTTGCTTCCGAAGGACAACATTTTGTTCCACTAATATGTTTTTAATATAATGATAAGATATTTTGAACTTTCTTCTAAGGTTACTTAGTGACTATCAAACTTTTTCGATCGCATTTCTTTCCAAAGACTTCCTTTTGCTATCTATTACTTTAATCCTTTTTTGGCCTACTCTCGAAATATTTACAACAGTCTTATCACTTTCCAGCCTTTTTATGATGATATAAACTGTCCTTCTTGCCTTTTCTATATCCACAAAATGCTTAACTGTAAAACTTCAACTCATTTCTTCATGCTATTTGAAAAATTCGCTAACTACAATTCTTTCTTCCTCTTCATTAAACTGCTCCATTTCGTTAAAGTTTGAAATATTGTTGCCGTAACGATACGAATTTAAATATACAGAGTCTGAGCAACAATCTACACTAGCACGTTCTCAAATTTATCTTTAAAAAGATAACAAATATTCCTGCCAAAATTATGCAGAAGTTTACTTTATTAATTAATACACTAATCAGTAATAAATTTTAAAATTAATCGATTCTTTAAGTTATAAAATTAAGTAATTTTTTTCTAATTATTATTTTAGTATTCGTTAGAAAGAAGGATAAATATTGTTAAATTGAACTGAACATGTTCAATCAATCAATAGCCTTCTATCAATGCGTATTATATAAGTATATATAGGACTATATTAGAATCGAAAAATGGTATGTCGTTATACTAAAAATGAAGAAAAATATTGTACTATGGCGATATCATTGAATAATATACTCAACAATAGCAAAGTAGGGCCATTTTATATTTAACAATCTGTCAGCTCTACCAAATTTCTAAGAGATGTTATCTGCGAAGGTTATTTTTAAAATAAATTCGATTTTATTTACCATTTTTAAACTGCAATTTTATAAAAATGTGTGTTCAGAAAGAATTTTTTAAAAATATTTATCATCTTTACGCACGGAAATATATATATATATATATTATAAGATGCAGTAGATTAATATTTAATGAATTTTTACATAAAAATTAATAGTCGAAAATATGTATTAATAATTCAAAAACATGATTTTATATTAGAAATATAAAATCATTTTTTAATCTTTATTCAATAATTGAAATGATAAATTAAGTTATTTTTATACTAAACAAAAAAACTTAAAACATAATCTAGAGTTTCAAACATATGAGCAAACCTTAATTTAATTGTATATAAAAAAATTATTAAATTAATATTGGAGAAAATAATTACAATTTTTTTATATTTTTTCAGAAATTAAAATTGTAAAATCAAATTTATATCAATTATAAATTTCGAATTTAATTTTTTTTAATTATGAAAGTTGTACTAGAATGTCAATCGCATTTTAATGTAGCTTCTACGATTAAGATAAAATTTAAAGAAAAAAATTCTGTAAAATCATTGTTAAAAGTTTTTTTTATACGATAAATTTTTCAGTAAGTCCATCTAATTATTTCTGTATAAAATGAAGTACTGGAAAGTTGTTACAACGTTCTAATGATCTCGATAAGAGCAAATCGAGTCAAACAGCAAGGCTAATTAGCTATTTTCGTTTTCAATATTATTTTTATTTTCAAATCGTTTTGTTCTCGGACAACTTTTTCTAATTTTAGTATTACTTATATAATTTCATGAAATCAAGTACTATAAGTTTTATTTAAATTACAATAACGATTGGCAAAAGAGTAGTTACGAAGTGAAAGTTAAAATCGAAATTAATTTTTTTGTACAGAAAAATTATACTTGTAAATTAACTTTTATTGTTATTATATCCATTCTAAAACGAACAATACAACATACGGTGAAAGACAAAAGTATTGGCACATAGCCAATTCTTAAATTTTCTTGTATAAATTTAATAAAAAATAAAAAAAAACTTGTAGCTCTGTTAAATTTTCACATAATAATACTAAATAAAAATATTATTTATGTATTTTTGGCTTTGAAAAGTTTGAAAGAATGTTTATATACAGGATTTGAACAGACAAAAGTATTAACATAGTAATGATATTTAAGCAAATTAGTTTTATCCATGTCATTTTTATGCTCAGTACAGTTGATATATGAAATCCAACGTTTCTTTTAACCTTATCGGGTATGAAAATTATTGTTACTTCTATCTAGTTGTTATTATTACCAAAACGAATAGCAGAGGTACTGAAACAACAGTAGGAGAAAGAAAAATCATCATGCATTTGTGTAGTCTTAACAAGTCATATTCAGAAATTGGGAAAATGGTTTAAAAGAGTAGGTTTACTGTAAGAAAGGTAATTAAGCGTTTTAAATCGATTCGCAGCTTGGAAAATAAACCAAGATGCGGCCGCCCACGGAAGCTTACAAAGAAGAGAGAAATATAGTCTGTTCAGTTAAGAACACAAAAATATTATTATTAATTCAAATATTATTATTAATTCACTTATTCAAATCTTCCTTTAGCATTATTACAATTTCAGTTGTAATGATGCTAAAGGAAGATTTGAATAAGTTGTTCATCCGAAAACTGTCCACCGAATCCTTTATTATGCTGGTTACTGAGCGAGAGCAGCCAGAAGAAAGCCATATATAAGTAAAATGAATCGAAAGATCGGAAATATCTGATTTCGTGGTCTCCCCGGATAGACCAGCATATCGGTCTTTCTGCGAAAATACGATAATATTTTAATAATGGTCTTTATACGAAAGGAGTGTTCTATTTTCCTCTTTTCTCTGTTTATACTAATTTTCTGCCATTATTAGAGAGAATTAGTAAAAAATTAATATATTAATATGAAATTTTACAACGTTGTTTGGTGGTTGAAGAAAAATTTAGTTTTTTCGAGTGTCAATGACCTCCATTTTGAAATGTAATTTTTTTTTAAATCGAAAACGTGTCTGGACTGCTTCATACATATAAATATATTGTAAATATTCAAGTAACAAACACCTTATTTTTTGCCAAGGGAGTTTTATTAAAAAAAAAAAAAAAAAAAAGTTTTCGATCTACTCCATAGATCATCCTCAGGTTTAAACATTCAAATTTGGAATAACAAAAAATAGAACACCAAACTCAAATTCAAAGAGATAAATACTGATAACGTAGCAACTAATTAAAATAAAAGTTAAAGCGTAAAAATACATAAATGTAAAAATAAATAACATACAATCATTAAATATTATTATTATAAGCCACTATCCTTTAACCAATAAAAGTCATTATGGTTCCCATAATGTAATTGCGGATATGGCGCAATTCAAGAGCTACTTGTAAGTTTTCTAAGTTTTTGAACGGCGTACTTCCATGCTGAGGGTAGGCCCTCCGCATCTCTGGCGTTTATGCATTTTTCATCTAGCTTGCTCCTATATATTTTCATTTTTTCAGCAGTTTTCGCTAAAGTTGGGAAGTGCACTTGCTTGATGACTTCCGCATCCTCCCATCTAACTACGGATCCTTGGGCCTGAGCCATCTGGGCTAGAACTGTTGCGTTAGATCTTTTTCTAATATCGTATTTATGCTCTTTGACCCTTATTCCTAGGTTTCTCGTTGTAACTCCTATGTACTCCTTTTCTATTCCTAACTGCTGGTTCTCGTACGGGATCCTATAAACTCCTGCTTTATCTTCCTTTTTGATATCCCCTTTATCATTTCTTAGAATCTTGTACAGATTCGGAGCTCGTTTTACGATCAACGTTGATCCTTTACTGTCCGCAA